TTTTAATAACATAATTCAAAAATCTAATTTGTTTAATATTTCAATTCAGGTTTTTAATCAAATTTAATATCAAAATTAAATCTTAGAAATTATACCAGCTAAACAAACTCTAAATTAAAGATATCTTTTTTTTTCTTTTTTATTTATTGAAAGAAACAAAAATTAAGAATTCCAGATATCAATCATTGATTTTTTAGAAAATAAATACGATTTTTTTTTAAGTAATGCAGTAAAATAAATAACAGAGGAAAAAACATTTATAATTTTCTTTTTTTTTATAAAAAAATTTTCGGATATTATATTGGAAGCATTATTTATTTAAGTATTTGAATACATAAAATTTTGTCAATTCTTCACATATTTTATGTAATAAATCAAGAATAAAAGATATTTGTCAGATAAAGTTTCGTGAAAGTACAATTATAAAAACACTCAAACGCAGAGCTTCAAATATCTACAGAATTCTCAAAATCGAAACATATTTAGCATTATGAACAATTTTATTAAAATTAAATGAAAACTCAATATCAAATTATAATTAACATAAAATAAATTTTCTTCAATTGAATGTTCACTTACATATAGTAGTAATACGATTAGAGCCTGTCCACGGAAGGGGTTATTTCGTCACGCTCTGTTTGTAGTGAATAAGGGGTTGTGGACAGCTTTGCGAATGTTTCATTTTGAAAAGCACAATTTTTGGTCCAAAACGGCAAAAGCATTTGATCCTAGACACTGAGTAGTTTGTATGTAATGAAACAAATAAAGCGTGACGGAATAACGTTTTACGTGGACAGGCTCATTATCGTTTTATATGAACACAGAACCAGTTTTTTCTGTCTTATAGTGAAAAGAAAATATTATTATCGTTTGACTTTACAATCAGTGACGAAGCCAGAGAGATGATTAGGGGGACCAATCCCCTCCCCCCCCCCTGGGAGATTTAAATTGCTGGAGGGGGGTATAGACATATTCGTTTTCAGAAGCAAAAAATCACTTTTTCTCTATGATGGTCCCCCTCCGAAAAAAATTTCTGGCTGCGCCACTGTTTACAATTAAACTACAATGACAGTGTTCAATCATAAACAACAATGATATATTGATAAAACTGTAAATTCGTGTGATATATTAATATGCAATTGAATTTAAAATTCATTATTGTAAAGATTTCAGCATTAAAATTGATTTGATTGATACTTGTTCATAGTAATCTATTCTTTTTTCAAACAAAACTTCTGTAGATAAAAATATCTATGCATAATAATTATTATTGAAATAATCAAATAAAAATCGATTTTTTAAGGCCCCCCCCCCCCCTTAGAAAATCCATTTTTCGGTAAAGTAATCGAAGTCGAGTTTTTATCATAGGAAGATGCAGCGAAGTTTCCTCTTTCAGAATATATATAGATTTTTAAAAAAAGTCAAATTTTTACATACTTTTGTAGGAGATTTTCATCTCACTACCCTGTTTTTGGAGCGATTTTCGTGGTTTTTGTAATTTTTGGGAAGACTATTTTTTTACTTATATCAGCATGGGAATAAACATTCTTATATCATATAGTATGAGCGGTAGTGCTAGCTTACGCCATCTATTGTGTGCTTTCAAAAATTCCACATAAATATTATCAATATACCTTTATTTCCTGCATTTGAATGAAAAAAATCCATTTCTAAAACTTCTTTCTCGTTTTTCTCAGAACATAGTTTCCAATCAGAAAAATTGGAACTCCTCCCTCATTTCTCGAGTTATAACCAATATTTGTTTTTGTTTTAAAGGTCTTAATTTAACAGTGTTCCGAATGATGAGTGCACCAAGCGAAATCAAAGTGAGCGTTCACGCTATTTTTTTGATTTGCACTCTATTTTGCACTTCACTCAAAAAAGCAGAGTGCACATTCTGCACTCTATTATAATGTTTTTCACTTTATTCTATATTTTAATTTATATTGGTTGTTTCATCTATACAATCAATTTTCTTATTTATTATGTTCTTTGATTCAAGTATATAGTCTTTTCTTATTTTTATTTCAGATTAAGAATAAAGAACAGTCATCCAGCCACTCTCAAACAAAGTTTCTAGAAAATTTTTTAATTCAGTCAATTCGATCATCATTCGATCAATCAAAAGAAAACTCAAATAACAGTAACAAGCGAATGACTTCGAATGGTACAGTTATTTCACTTGAAGAAGGCACATTACTTGAAGATAACGTCAACGAGATCGAAATCGAAACTATTAATGATAATTCATCACCATCATCGATTCCGTCTTCAAGAATTTTGACAGATCAAAATAAAATCATTTCAATACCTGTGGAAAAAGTTATAAGAACTGAATCAACATTTAAACGTGCACGACATTCAGCAACATATCAACGAAGTTGGAAACAAAAAGAAGAAGCTATGTACAAAACATATGAGTTCGATTTATTTGGTGTACGAACAGAAAAAATTATTTGTTGGTTATACTCAACAGATAATATATCGATGCGTTGTCGTTTATGCGAAAAATACACAAAGGCAAAAAACAGTAATGGTAAGCAAGTTAAGAAAACCTTTTTAGTTTCAAAATTTCATTTTTTAAAAACTTTAAAAAATTTCACTTTTCTAGGTCAAGAGAATTTATGGTGCACAATTGGCTATAAAACGTTGAAAATAGATAAAATTAAGCAGCATCAGCAAAGCGAAACGCACAAACACTGGAACTCCAAGTTAGTTCCAAAGTACAACCAAGATGGATTGGCACTCAATCAAAGGAATCCAGTCAGACAAAAATTTTGAAAAACGCGTTTAAATGCACTATCGAGAACCGCGATTGTAAGCCATTGACGCTCATTAAAAAAACGCACGAAAACGCGTATATTGGCGTTTTTTGTAACTGTATGGGCGTTAAAACGTCGAAAACTCCAATTTTTGAGCGTTAAAACGTATTGTTTTTAAGTTCTAGAACAATAGTGCGTTTTAACGCTCAAAAACTGGAATTTTCGCCGTTTTAACGCCCATAAAGTTACGAAAAAACGCCAACAAACGCGTTTTCGTCCGTTCTTTTAATGATCGTTAATGGCTTACAATCGCGGTTCCCGATTGTGCGTTTAAACGCGTTTTTCAAAATTTTTGTCTGGCTGGGTGGGAAAGATCAAAACATCAAGAAGCTATTGAAAATTTAATTATTGCATCTATTTTTACTTGCCAGATAGATCATTCACTGAACAGTTTTAGCTCATTGTGTTCGTTACTGGAAAAAACTGGAGAGAAATTGCTGCCCGCTAAAGTTAGTGGTGTGTCCTATAGAAATGCTGATGCGGCTTTATGTTTTCTTCAAAATGTAAGTCAATATCTTCATAAAGAGTTGATTGAAAGAATAAAGAAAAGCAGTACTGTCAGTATGTATGCAACATTTTCTCCATGAATGATGGATTCATATCTTTTCAATTTAGGTTGGATGATAGACGAATCCATCTCAAGAACTGCTAAAAAAAGTTTAATTGTATATGTCAGATATTTGGACGATTTCGAGCCCAAAATATCATATTATTGTTTACTTGATCTTGATGGTGACAGTACAGCTCAAAATATAGTCGATTCAATTAGTTGAATGCGGAGAAAAGATGATATAAGTCCACAAAATACTTGTTGGTTTGCATCGAATAATGCAAGTACATTTACAGGTCAGTAGCATCTTTTTCTTTTTTTTATTGATGATAAATTAGAACTATTGCTTTTTTTAATCTACTTTACTTAGGGGTTCATAATGGTGTTATTGAGAAACTGCGTCAAAAATTGGATGGTGAATGTATGGAAAGCAGCCCATGTGTTGCTCATACGTTTTCTCTTGTTGGTAGTCAAGCTGCTTATAGTCTTACTGGTAAGTCATTTTAATAAATTCCAAAAGATAGAATATATAATACTAAAACACTTCTATCAATTTTAGATGATAATAAAATTGGACCGATAAGTCCATCAGTTTCTAAATTAGAATCGTCTATTAGTAAAATATACAATTATTTCTCGCGTAGCTCAAGTTGTCAAACAAAACTTAAAAACTGGCACCGATTCTTCGAACAACCAGAACTTCGATTTAAGCGTCTATTTGATATACGGTGGTCTTGTATTCGAGATAGCATAAAACCAATTATTGAAAATATTCAACCGAGTAAATCAAAGCATATTTGTCTTCAGTAAGATATATGTTGTTTCATTTTTTGCTTTAGACTCCCAAGCATTGTTTATTGTACTTGAAGAGATATCTGCAGACTGGATGTGCTCCAGTACAGATCGTGAAACTGCGAGTGAACTACGAAAACAATTACTGCGTGATGAGTTCTTATTTATAATACATTTTCATCATGATTTACACGAATGTGTTTTGGGTAAAGTTTTTTTTTTTTCTTTTATTATGTTAAACGAAGTATTTTCTCTGTTGTTCAGGCCCAGTAACAAAAGTACTTCAAGATGATGACTTTTCATACTTGAAATTGATGAAATTAATTGACAAGAAGAAGAAAATGTTACGAAAATAGATTGAACAACAACCACCTATGTGGGGTTCATCGTTATCGAATTATATTCGAGAATCAAAGAAGCATTTTTATGGTCAATTTAAAATTGAACCAGCTGATCGAAAAAAATTATCTCGGGAATGTTTTGATCACATTGAAAGATTACTTCAAGAACTAGATCGTCGCTTCATTAAATATCCTTTACTTGAAAATTTATCAATATCATTCGATCCAAATTATCTTATGGACCATAAAGAAATTGTTGATCAACCAGAATATGGACGAAAAGTATTGAATTATCTTCGAGAAAAATATAAAAATTTACCATCATTTGATAAAACTGCAGTACACGCTGAATGGGAATTAATTAAAATACCATTGGCTGAATATTTAAAAGGTTCAATAACTCATACACGAAAACATTTTTGGAAATCCTTTATTTTGTTCAAACAAACTATAAATGAAAGATTTATTGAACAGTTTAAAAATATTGTAATGCTATTGTCAATATATTTATTATCAGCGTCTAACTCTGCTGAATGTGAACGAGGATTTTCAGCTGCTAATCGTGTACAAACAAACGGACGTAGCAGATTAATGGTGGAAACGTTGGATGTATTACTGAATGTTAGGTTACTATTAACTGATGAAATTCGCAGGTAAATAGTACATCGACTTTTTGAAATAGATGTTTTTTTTTGTTTTATTCCTTTTTAGTGAAAGATGTCAGTTTGTTGCTGAAAAAGCATTCGAATCATGGAATGATTATGAAAGTAAACGTCGTTACACTCGAACTAAATTACTTATTGATGTTGCTGATGATTATGAACCTGCAACACAAAAATATCGACCTATACAAAAATGAAAAATAATATCAAATTACGATAATGAAGTGGAACCGAAGAAACAAAAAGTAAAAGCTATTAAATGCGAGTTATTGAATTAATTTTCTTTGACTTTTGTAATTTTTTCTGCTTAGGTGCGAATCGTTGTGGTAGAGTTATCGCACCCGATGATCGACAACAAGTTAATGCCATTCAATGTTGTCATCAAAAGGAATTTTACAAATGGGTAGAAGATAATTGTTCAAGATGGCTTTGCAATGGATGTCGAATCGAATTAGGAGTGTCTACGGATTCGACAAACTGGTTTTGTGATGATTGCGTTGACATGCATAGTGAAGAAGAAGGTAGTGATGGTGATGATAAATGAGTCAGTTAAATTTTTCTTCTCTCAAATGAGCAGTAACAATAATATAACTCTTTTTGTTTTCTGTTGTATTTATTTTTGGTGAACAAGAATGAATATCTAGATGTACAGATAGTCCTAAGTGCTGATTTATGTTTTTGTTAATCTTCTGATTTAATGATGATTTGTATTTGTATTTCATTTTTATTTGTAAATTTTGTAACTAAACGATGATTTACATATTGTTTTTGATTATTATTTATATGTATACATGCACATAGAAGTCTGGAGTATAAAATATAAACTATTATTTCTTTGTTCTAGATATATTTATATATTTGCACTTTGCTGCACTTTGCTGCTTGAAACGGAGTGCAACATCTCACTTTACCTACTGAAAAAGAGTACAAGATCTCACTATACTTCGAATTCTCATTCGGAACACTGGTCTTAATAAGAGTAAACTTTTCATCAACCAGTTTTTTTAAAGTCGATTCCTGGGCTGAGAAAAGTGGAATTTACTGTCGTCGGATCACCGTTTTTTATGCTTCTTG